GCATGTCTCTCTATGAAACTTTGGTTTATTATCCAGCAAGATTTTTTTAAAGGAAAAAAACTTGACAAATAATTCTACTGAATAAAACCAATTGTTCAGGGAGCTGAGAAAATTGAGTGACATTAGGAAGTGATTAAAGATCCATAACTGCATGAAAAGCAAGCCAGAGGACTAATTCTCTGTGGCTTTACCGGATGAAAAGAAAGATGGGCTAATATTGATGAAACTGGAGACCAGTTTCATATTCTGTTACAACATATGGCAGCTGATGTAAAATAACAAAGAAGATACTGCAGGATCTATCGTAACAATATTCTGAGTGAAATGGGAAGAGAACAGAATGGTAAATTAATCTTGGATTTACCAGCTAACAGCTAAGGTTCTACCTACCATTACCTAGGAAAGGAAACTTTGTATTGGAATAAAAAGCTAAGCTTCCCCTAAAATTTTAGATTTTCCTATCAATAGGTAGAAACTACACACAAACACACTTACTTTAATGACTGCTAACTGTCACACACTAAAGAGATGTAGGATCTAATTAATAAAAAGGCTGGAGAAATTTTTTTTAAGATAGGTGAAGGGAATGTTATGAAGAGGAATACGATAAAATGAGGAAAGACAAATCAAATTTAGGCTGAATGCTAGAAAAAACAACTTCCTGACAATAGAGAGCCACCCGGATACCACATGAAGAATTGCTGCAGTACAGAAGAAACCCCCCAACGAATCGCACACCGCTGGTTATAACATATCAACCCCTCCCTCAAACCCATATGGAAAATCCTCAGTTGCAACCCATGCTAGAAAGAGACCTTATTCTTAAACAGATCTTCCCAGAGCAACCCATCTGAGCCTTCAAACAAGCACCAAACCTCACTACCTCATCACCAGAAGCAAACTTTCTCAGGCCCACAACACACCAAATGGATCCAGACCATGCCATGACAAGAAATGCAAAACCTGCCAACATATCTGCACCACCCCCACAATTACTACACCCCGCAACAGAGCCATCAGCATTCCAGGATCTTACAGCTGCACCTCCAGAAATGTAATACATCTCATCCAGTGCACCAAACGCCCTAATGGAAAATACGTAGGAGAGACCAAACAACAACTGCGCACCAGAATGAATGCACACTGCAAATCTATCAAAGACAAGAATACCCAATTACCGGTGGGGGCACATTTCTCACAAGAAAACCACTCTCTCTCCAATCTCTCAGACCTGAGCCTCAAAAGAAACTTACACAACACTTCCCAGAGACGAGCCTATGAACTCCACTTCATCAACCTCCTGGATACTAAAAATAATGGACTAAATATAGACCTTGGATTTATGACACATTATAACCTGCCTGACATCTGACTGCTCAGGTACCTCTCCACTATTCATCCCTTCTCCCTCCCTCCCCAGCCTCTCTCTCACCCATTGACTCCTCAATCTACATCTTCACAGACTACCTGTGTTGTATGCAATACCAGCCCAGCCTCTGGCTTCTTTATTTTTCATTCCATCCAGAAAGAGTGCACACCAACTGCAGAGACTTCCTCAGCCTGACAAAGGGTTTTTAAACGCGAAAGCTTGCTTAAAAATGTTTTTCCAATTATTTTGTTGGATATTGTCTTTAGTTTCCTTTTCTTAATGAGACTGTTTAGATAGCTGTTTAAGCTATTTTAAAACAAAGGAGAAAAAAACATGGAACATGCATAGTTTCCTCCGATTTGTGCCATTATGTCAGATATAAAACAGGTAATTTGGTGAGGTCACAGTGCTTCTCTGTCGCTATGTTATATGGGAGGTTCTGGTTTCAATTTATCAGTCCTTAGGATAGGTGCTGATGTGGCCATCTCAACAGGTGGTGATGATGAATTTTTCAGCAGTCTAGGGCCACCCATTTTTCTAGTGTTTTTAGTTGTTGGATGTTCATATCTGTTTGAGGTGTTGGCAATTTGGATAATGCTGCCACCCCAGAACCCAGCGTCTTCCTGGACATAAAGAAATGAAATCTGTGTGGGGCACCTGTGAAGATGATGACCAGTAAGGCCAGTCTGGTATGTTATACTGGTTTTGGCTCATTTGTGCATGGTCAGCCCAAGCACGCTGATGTTCTTCAAGAGTGATCTGGTGCAGGCTCTAGGGTTGCATTCAGACAGTAGCAGGGAGACATGTCTGCTTGATACTAAAGAGAAAGTATTGTTTGGCAACAGTGAATAGTATTTCTTGAATAATGGTAATGAAGGGTGATGTATCAGTTTCAACTCTAGAGCCAATGATGTCCCCAGAGAGAAACCAGATGGTCTTGTGGTCAGTGCCAGTGCTTTGTCAGGGTGGATATCAGTGGTGCTGGCTTACTGAGTGCCACTTCTTTGGCAGAGGACATAGATGCTCAGTTCCTGGCATAAGAACATCTTTTCCTTTCTTTGTCTGAAACCATGCTATTTGGCCTTTACTTTTCACTTCTTCTCTCCTGGGGCACCAATGCCTGCTTCACCAATGATGATGTTGGTGCTAGCGATGATGCCAAGGCTGCCACGTCTGTTGACATTTTAGCAGTGCCAAACAGGTAACACTGCTAAAACAGTAGCTGGCTTTGGTACTGAGATAAAGGCAACTGATGCTAAGACAACTACTATAAATACATTTACAGCCAGCTCTAATAATGTTTTCTTTTCTGCTTTTGTTCCTACATCCTAGGTTATAGTGTCTGGGTGAAGGGTGCTCAATGAGAATAAGCAAGGCTCTAGACTTTTTGAAGATGGAAATTTCCTCAGCGTCTGAGATGACATGCAGCAATTATGCAAGTAAGTACAGGTTCAGCTATGCATGACTAGTTTTTAATCCTCAGTAGGAAGGATTGGCACATCAATCTCTCATTAGGCATGTTGTCCTGTTCCTGACAGAAAATACCTTGATATTACCTATCAACATGGGGAATGATTCCACTAAAGGTCAGGCAGAGCTTAAATCCCCAAAGTATACAAGTCTGCCATGGCAGTTGGCACCATGCCCAACCACAAAGATGGGTATCTTTTTGAGGGTAGGGAGTGGGGACAGGGGGGTTGGGGGACACAGAAATGAGAAGGATGATGGAGAGAGTGAAACAGTATTTCTTAAAACTATTTTTCAAGAGACAGTAACAGGTTCCAACCTGTTGCCACAGGTGATAAGAGAAAATTGCTCAGGGGGCACTTTATACATGTGAAGTAAACAACAACCCCCTGCCAACCCCCCCTCCAAAATAGGACCCTGCTCCAGAAAAAAAAATAACAGAGAAGAGGGAGTCTATTTAGGAAGAATTTGGCCTCCCTAGCTTGAAAATAAGTAAGCTTGAAATATAAAATTTAAACCCCCCCCTCCCCGAATCCAAACAATGCTTTGTAAATTTGTAAAGAGTACACCGTGCCGCTTATAAAGGTAGTGGCTCTGGCACTGCGATGTCCTCCAGTCGTTTCCCTGGGTCTCTTAATCTGCCTTCTCTCTCTTATTGCCCTTCTTCCAAACACACCTTCCCTAGCATACTTGCCTGGAAGCTGGCCTGTTTACTGCTCACTGGCCCCAAAAGGTCCCATTTTTCCTGCTTCGTCACACCAAGCTGAAAGGCTCTAACTGCCTGCAAACCATTTAGCCTGTTTGCAGCCCCTGTTTGCTGGCTCCCAGGTTGCTCAGAGTCTCCTTTTATACCCTGCTGGGCCTGAACTGGCTCCGCTCCCTCATTAGGGCTTCTGTCAAGCCCAGGCAGCAATTAGCAATCACTCAGCCAGCAATACTCCCAGCTTCTCAGCGCACACACCCCAAACACACACAGTCCACCAAACAACAGGGAGCTGGAGGTGAATCCAGGGCTTGTGGGACTGGGGATATCACACCCATGTGGTGCAGTGGGGCAGTGGAGGGCACCTGATGCAGCAGTGGAGGTGGGAAGTTGCCCATGTGGTGTATGGTCTGTGGCTCACCCAGTGTGGCCCACACAGCATGTGGCTCCCAATTGTGCAGCCCCCGGGGGCTTAGAAGTTGGACAGCAGAGGCCTAGGGGAATCTGACCACTCAATTCAAGAACCATTCCCTAGGAAATGAATGATTGTGCTGGTCCACTACGGAAACCTTGTTTGCAAATGGTACATACTGTTTAATGTTAGGTATTTTAACTGAAGTTGATATATAGTTAATCCACTTTAAGCCATAAATTGAGTGAAATGAAAAGACCTAAAGTAATATTAAATCTACTTTAGAAGGTTTTAAGAATATTTTAATGAAATATACAATTGATCTGCACATTAAATTGATTTATAACTGATCATACTGAAGTTAATGACAATTTTGAAACCTATTGCCTATACAGGAAACCCTCGCTATTCACAGGTTCAGCATTCACGGTTTCATATATTTGCAAATGCCGAACCTGCATTTTAAATACACTTACAGGAGCTCCACGCTTGCTGCCGCTGGGCTCCTGCTGCCACATTCCCGCCGCCGCCACCAGAGCCGTGCTCCGCCCCCCGCAATAGCAGTTCTGTGAAGGTACTATGGACCTCTTCTGCAGAATTTATGTATTCTTCTTTTAAATTAATGCTGATAGCTTTAGAATAATTTCATAATCTTTTAATCTAAACCCTTAATACAAATTATCTTGGTATAGAAATGCTTAACATGCCCCTGTGCTATGAGTTTCTTCATACATATATTCTTTAGAAATTTTTTTCTTCTTTTTAAGTGTAAATTGTTGGATACTTTGTGGCAAGTGTGAATGCTTACTTGTAAATATGGTCTTATACCCCACAGTAAGTAGGAGTACTAATTTATTTTTTTCTTCCTAAACAAATAATATATATGTGTATTGTTTTCTTGATTAGTTATTGAAGCTTTTATAGAATTAGATTAATAGTATTAGGAAATGTTCACATTTAAAATTAATGTCCCTTAATTATATTAACTAAGACAATGGTGATATGAAGTACTCCAAATACAGCTAAGAATGACATTTGGAATTGCTCACCTTAGCCAGATAAGCTTCCACTCTGTTTTTTGAAGATAATGCATTTCCAGCTGGATTTATAAAGCTTCCTCCAAGACCAAGACTTCTATTTAATGCTAAATTGTTGCCGAGATTTCCAAGCTGAGCTGTATCCAGAACTGGACTTGCAGTCAGACTTCCATTTACAATGCTGTTGGCAATTAAAGATTTGCTCTTGTGACGCTCATGGAGGAGTTTAGCATTGGCCTCTGCTAGCCTGTCATTAGCTCTATAAAAAGTTAAGCAGCATGCAAACATTTTTTGTTAATTATTTCACCACCACAACTGAATTATCTGATCACTGAGACAATCTATTCTTTTTCGACTAGAATGTGGCTGTTCAAAAATATTTATCCTGGATGTCCCAAGTCACAGGCTAGTACTCTAACAATTGGATAATACATCCTTTCAAAGAAGGCTGATCCTGGGAAGTGCTGAGAGATAAACAGCATATAATTACCTCACAAGAGGGAGCTTATTTATTCAGAAGTCAACTTTTACATTCAAATATGGATTTGGGCCTATAATACAATAAATAATTTCTTTCTTACCATGAACAAAGAAGAAATTACTGTATAACAGCCAAAAGATAAAAATTGAAAAAATACATATTACACTTTATAAAAATTAAATATATTTCTACTACTTATAGAATATTAAATCAAGTTACTCATTACTAACGGAAAATGTATTGCTTTCTACAAATGCCCAGTCTTTATGCACATCATGTGGTATAGGTCCAGCTGTGAGAGGTTTTAGGAGATAAATTTAATAATGGGTAAAATTAACAATTTATCTTTTGGTTTAAAGGCTTTGACTCACCTTTCTAATTTACTTGCCAAGGATTTTCTAATTTTTAATTCCTCCATATACAGGTCTTTGTACCTTTCCAATTCTGTCTGGGTGGACTCCTTTTGCAAAATGCTGTCTTGCTGAGTGTTTTTTATTCTAGCAAGTTCAGATTCCAGATCTCTCATTCTGTGTTCCAGTTGGTTTCTCAGAGAAGCATTATTAGTAGTTCTTATTTGTTCTAATGTCTCTTGGGAGGCTGCCTGTGTCTAAAGCAAATCATATTATCTTAATAAATCAAAAAGCAAAGATGAATTTTCCTCCTTGTGAGATTCTCAAACACAACTTAAGTACACCAGTTTACTCAGGGAACTATTATTCCTTAGTGCCAACACTAAAGAATGGAGAAATCTAAAATCACTACACAAAAGAATGCCTTCAGCTTAGAAAGAAACTCTCTTAATAGGCTGTTGTTACATCAAATCTGATACTCAATTGGCAGTCTAACTCCAGCTCCAATCCCAGGGCTGGTGAAAGAGTTGCAAATATTTTACGAACTCATGCATATAATACTTTCAGAAAGTAAATAATTATTGGAAACCAAAAAAGTTACTTTGTTACTTGTGTTTTATCAACATTTGGTCTTCAGAATAGACACGGCTTAGGCATATAAAATCATCTGCTATGGCAAGCTTGAGTACCAATGACCCTTAGAGCATACATGTATCATTTTGCATCCACTCACAAAGAATAAAAAAAGCCCTATCCTTTTAAATGTCCTCTAATTTCTTTCTCCTTCTAGGAGCTGATGAATGACAGCCTAAAGAACAGGGGAGGGAAGGTTATTGTGCTCTGCAAAAGAAATACAGAGAACAAAAAGGTTATTTGCTAAGGTTTTTGGATACTATTCCTCTATGTGGAAGACAGGCTGGAAGTCCTCTTCCTGGTAAAAAAAAGTCAGTTTGGGATGGGCTTTGTGACAGAATGACCTGATGGCACTATAGAAAAGGAATCAAAGATTGTGCCCAAATTTTCTTTTCTTTATATTTTTTCTTCATCTCTGTCTCCAGTTCCTCAATTACTATACTAGAAACATCTAAAAAATAACATTTTCCACTATTAAATAAATGTAAAATAAATATAAAGCTTGTACAAAGCACCAACTAGTAAATATATTAACCTGCAAAAATAAATTGACTTCTTCTAGTTTTTGTCTTATTTCTTGTCTGGCTCGTTCTTCAATCTCTCTTTTATAGTGTTCTATTTGATTGTGGTCCATCATATTCGTTTCTACATGGCGTTTGAGGTTAGCAACTTCTTCTTCCAACTGCCATTTATTCTTTTCCAGCTTTTCATGATTCTTATGTAGTATCTTCATAGAAGACAACTGTTCTCGCAAATCATGATTTGCAGATTCTAGCTGCGTAGATTTTTTTGACTCTGTTTTCAGCTGCTGGGATAGTTCATCTATCTGCATACATTGAGAAAAAACTGAACTTAGTTATCAAACAGAGCTCAAAATCTTCTACTCTGTGAGTTTGTAAAAAGTATCAGTCAAAATATTTTACAATCCAGAGTATGTGAAATGAACAAAAACTATTCTAAACATTTTAAAAAGTACATCTGTTAAACAGTTTCTCAAAGGGTTGCTTAAGACCACTTCCTTTGTCTTCTACCCTATGCAGTAGTTCACATAAATACTTCAGAACCATCCCTGCAAAAAACCAAAACCCAAAAACCTTAGCTCCCAAATCAAAGGCAGTTTACTCACATACTTGGGCTTTGAATACACTGGTCTCATTATTTACTGGGTCTACTCAAATGCTCAAAGGTAAGCAAGTACATAACTATAGTTGGGGCCTTATATGTTAAATATCAAAATGCATACATCAATTTAAAAACTGTTAAATAGGATGGTTAGAATATCAAAGTCTTCACAGGATGCATCTACATGTGAAATTAGCATGATGCAATAAACACTGGGAAGTTTGCGCTGGAGTTTATTGCTCCTGGATGCAGTGTTTACACGTGCACCTGGGACTGCAGCATATTGAGCCAGGGCAGCACAGTCCTGGCTGGCAGGAAGTCCCAGGGGTCAGCCTGCCAGCCTGGGGCTGCTTCAACCAGGCTCAATGTGCTGCAGAGGTGTTGGATGGGGCACGAGGCTACTACAAGGCAGGGCTAACCAGCAGGCAGCTCCGTGCTGTAGCACACTTGTGCCCCAGTCAGCGTCTACACATGCATTGCAATGAAGTAAGTAACACCACCATAGGATAGTACTTGTATTGGGCAGTACTAATCTATGGCAGAGTTAATTAGTTAACTCCAGCATAATAGCTCTGCACATTGTAGACAGAGATGCTTTAGTGAGGAACTAATTAGGCAACTCCAAAGTAAGCACCTCATGTAGATTCCCCCACTAGCACTTTAATAGAGAAGGAAAAAAAATTTAAGATATTTTTCTTACAATAATTTAGAAGACAAGGTCAGATTTTTCATTCTGAAACTAGATTAAAACTGACTGAAAAAAGGTTTCTATTCTCTGTCACTAATTCATATACTTCTTGTTATACTCATTTAAATTTTTAAAAAGGCCAAGAAATCAGATGAGTATGTATACGATTGAAAATATTCATAGACAGTCTCAAATGTCTAATTCCAGAACTGTATTCATCTTCATAAAATAACTGCAAGAGAAGTAATTTATGTATGAATTCCCCTCCTTTCCACTCAAATAAGTATTACCACTGTAAAGAAGCCATACAAATAATATTTTTTAATTTATAAAAATACACTGATGTGAAGGCACTTAATGCATTGTACAATAATATATGATAAAATTATTTACTTACAGATATCAAAAACACAGCACATTAGCAACAGAGTTACATTCATTAACATAGGAAGGAAAGTTAGTAGAGAAGGTCCTAGCTAGGAAACAAAAGCTGTATTTCCAAATGCTAGGTAAATGGTGGTGATAAAATACACCCCAGCAGTCTTTCCTGCCCAAGTGCAGGGGGGCTGGACCCAATGATCTTGTAAGGACCCTTCTAGCCCCTCACATCTATGAAACTATGAAACTCGTAGGAAATGCTTTCAGGTATTCAGCACAACAGATGTGGACCAAAACACATATCAACCACTGTATTTTCTTGCATATAACATGTATCAAATTAGTTGCTGGAAATTTTGTTTTAGGTGAGGAAATATGGTAATAACAGCTACTATAGCAGGAGCATTTGCCAAGGGCAAGAGAAAGTAATACTGTACCTACTGCACAGGAGGTAGAACACTGAGCATGTAGGACTCTCAAAGGAGCACTTTGTCTTTTCCCCTGGAGAGGCTTGTGCTGGAGAAGCTGCAACCAACACAACAAAAACCTCTGCCCCAGCTTTGGACCTGAGCCCTGGGTGCTGGGGCAGAAACTCCTCCTGAATCAGCTAGGTGGGTCCTCAGATGACTCTAGAACTGCTCCTGCCTAGGATCTGGTGCTCAGCTAACCTGACACATGCTCAGCTTGAGAAAAGAAGAGGGGCTTGGCAGTCTGGCTTAGACAGTAGCACCTGCCTCATCCTTCAGCTACAGTACAGTAGCAGCCATATGTTTTGCTCATATCCTGCTGCAGCTGCCTCTTCCCTGAAAAAATACTGTACTTACCAGTATTTTCAAGGAAAGATCTTTTTTCCTTCATTCTGCCTTTTAAAAATAATGGGTGTAACTTATTTTGGGGTTTGCTTTATATGAGAAAATACAGTAAATTCCACATCCAATGGACCACCTTGTCTGCTAACACAAGGATTGATTGTGGAATCCCTAACAGGTGGATTGGACCAGAGCACTAATATGTGATAAAAAAGGCTAAAAATACAGTTTTGAATATGGCCAAGTTTATACAGTAATTAATTTACCAATGCATTAATATTATTAATCCTGTTGTAGATAAATTAGTCATTTAGCATTCAGTGGAGATACAACTGTCCATGTGAAAAACGGATTTTTTTTTTACCCATAATTCTTCTTTGAAGCTGAAAGCTGTACTTACATAAGTCTACATTCCTTATTAACCTTCTACTAGAGTTGCAGAGCTAATATATGGGGATAATGTAATATTATGTGCCTTTTTGTCATACCTCTTCCTCAAAAGAAACTTATGCTCACAATATATTAGCGACTCAACAGAGGGATACATCAACTACTTTAAAAGCATCATTATATAATTTTTCTTAAAAGTCACTAGCTATATGAACAAAGAGACAGTTAGCTGTGTTAGTTTGAAGTCAGGCAGAAGGTGCAAATCTACCATCTATAAGAACAAAAACACACTTAAATATAGCCACAATTCTAAAAGGGACATACACAGAGTGTCAAGTTTCAAGCAACAGAACCTACCTTTGTTTTTAATCTACTAACTTCACCATCCATTTCAGAATATTTGTTCTTCAATTCTCCTTGGAAACTAAACTGCAACTCACTTTCTTTGCTCTCATATTCTTTTAATTTCTTCTTAGCTGTTTTTAGAAGTTTCTTGATTCTGCATAGCAAATACAATGGAAAGACAAATAAAACCCATCTTCTCCATAACTGCCCATTAGGTACTTTAATAATTTTGATAATAATTTAACTATTATCAAATCCCCCCTCAATTTTCTCTTCCCCAGACTAGCTGACCCTAGCTCTTTCACCCTTTCCTCAAACAGTGTGCGTCCCAGATCCCTAACAATTTTGTTGCTCTCCAATGGATTCTTTCTAATCTAGCCATGTTCTTCTTGAAATGTAGGGCCCAAAGCTACACACAATACTCCAGGTGAGGCCTCACCAGGACTGAACAGAGAGAAAGAATCACTTTCTTTGATTTGCAAGAGACACTACTGTTAATACAATCCAGTACGGTGTTGGCCTTTTTGCAACAAGAACAGTGTTGGTTCCTTTTCATCTTATAGTCTGCTGTAACTCCCAGGTCCTTCTCTGCAGTACTGCAGCCTAACTAACCATTTTCCAGTCTGCATCTGTGCATGCAATTATTGCGTCCCAAATGCAGGACTCTGTACTTGTCCCTGTTGAATTTAATCTGATTGAGTGCAGGCTATTTCTCCATTTTATCCAAGTCATTCTGGATCACAACCCTACCCTCCAGACTGCCTGCAGCTCCATCCAACTTGGTGTCATCCATAAATTTGCTAAGCATGCACCCAATCTCATCATCCAGATCATTAATAAAGATATTAAACAATACTGGAGTAAGGTGCCTTGTCTTTCCCCATCAGAGAAAGCTACACAGCACAACAGATCAGTCCAATGTATTTTGCACTATTCTGTAATTGGGTTACTCAGCTGCATAAGTGAACATTTATTTGCATGCCACACACCCTTAAATAAGTCTCTCACATTATTTTGGGAAGGCAGAATGAAGAAAAAAAGATTTTTCTGGAATCCTACCTTCCACAGCCTGGGCTCACCACACATGCTGGCCACATAGAGGAGGGGCAGAGTCCATTCCTCAGAGTCACTTACCTTCTTGCTACAGGTCTACAGCTAGACATTCAACCTTTCCAGTCAGTGCCAAATTGCCAGCAGCTTTTGGCTGCTTGAAGGCTGAGAGAGGGTTAAACCTCTATCTGTGGACCTGCTGCCAAAGGGTGGTGACACTGAAAAGTGGATTCAGTCAACTTTCTATGTGGCCAAGAGCCCAGCAGAGCCAGCTCCCAGTAGCCATTCCAGCATCCCCATGCTTCCATTCCTGTACAGAAATCAGTTTCCTCGCGTAAGACGTGTACCTGAATTTGGAGGACTAATTTTCAGGGATGTTATGCATGTGGTATACAAAAAAGTACAGTATAAAGATAGGCTATTACGTAAGTGATTGTTATGATTTAACTGTTGAGCATGAACAGCATGTACACAGTAATATACAAAATTTTAAAGTTAAAATGAAGCTAACTGGACCAAATTTTAGTTCACTCTTAATACTTTTAGAAGTGATCAAAGATCCCTACCCGTAACACTCTTTTTGCAGTTCACCATTTCTTTTCATCTCTTGATCCAGCCGGGCTTCCACCGATCGTTTTATCTCCAATAGCTTCTTCACTTTTTTCCTTTCACTTTCATGCTGTCAAAAAGAAAAATACATACTTATTCCTACATATATCATGTAATGACAGTTTACATTTACCATTTGTGGATGTAAAGGAAGCAGAATCTCACATTCTTGACAAACAAATTGGAACACAATTTAAAACTGTGATATTTTGCATTAAGCTATGTTAAATACACATTCACAGGCAGGAGAGAGACACAGGTAATAGTCAATGTTGCTAAGGTTAAGGTTATTAATTATTATTAATATTAAGGCTAAGAATTCACTATTCATTAAATAATGAAGTCTTACTGCCCACACTGTGATTGGGGAACTCCACATACATACAAAGACTGCTAGTGCATTTCCAACAGGATCTCCATTACTTCTAGAGGCAGAAAGCAAACTGGTATGTTCATATCTAAAAATGTATTTTGGTTGGCACTCCTTTTGTCTGGACTGAAACAAGCATGCATTCTTCTTTTTGCTCCTTGAGGTAGGACCCGTTAACATGTTGGGATTTTGACACTGCAGTCGCATACTTATCATAGACCCTAATCAAAAGTTTCACTAAGTTATCTAAAAGTAATATTAACTGACTAGCTATAACAAATTCAGAATCATCTGTTCCAAATCCCAGTGTGGAGTGGGGCTTCCAGGAGAAGAAGGATCTTTATAGTTCCCTGTTTTAGGAAACATATGTAAAATAATTGTCATTTTATGCTTAAATCCCTTGCATCATGGGATTCAGTTAACTAATGACCTCAGCAAAATCAGAGAAGGAATAATCATGTGACCGGCAATACTTTAAGCTCTCTTCTTTCAAACATATCATCTTAACATAGGGAGGGACATCCAACTTCTGAGTATCTGGGGAACACATGCCCCCTGGCCCACATTATGCGTGGGACCCTATGCAGCACCAGTGTCCCATGTGCCCCCCCATACTGGCCCACTGTGCAAGCAGCCATTCTCCCTCCCTTACACTTTGAGGAGAGGGAACAAGGGAGAGCAGAGCACTCTGGGAAACAGGGAGTCTGAGATTTGTTTCAAGCCAGAACATTTTTATAAACCTTCTACCATTTTTGTAGCCCTTCAGGGGCATGCATGTCTTTCCCCTTGATACCTTTAGAGTTGCAAGTGTTTGTAGTGACAGTATCGTAACATCTATCTATCTAAAGTGAAATAGGACTTGCTATGACTCTTACCGTCTACCATATCATGTATACAACTCCCCGGGAGAAGCACATCCCCTTTCACATTGAAAGGTGACCTCAAAGCTTTGGGGTGACTTTCCCAATCATAAGTTATCTTGAGCATGAATTTCAAATGATACTTAGAAGGTTGACAAAACATACTAATAACTACTTGAAAAGTAGACTGAACTTAAAATTGACAACTGTTTTCATTTTTTCTTGACTTACCTGCTCCAATATCTCAGCCTTTTCCCTGTCAAGCTGAGAAAGTCGAACTCCAAGTCTGGATCTTGATTGAAGTTCCTCCTCCCACATATTACGTGTATCTTGTGCTGTCATTGAAAGCATGTTTTGCTTTTGGACCTACCAAAGTAGTATTAGTAGAAGAAAAACAACAGAAAGCAATTTGAAAATTTTTATTTAATAAATTATAGCAGCTTTATCTCATCATGTGGCATCATATATGAAGGCTCCTAATCATCAATATTTTCTGGTATTAGATAGAGAAATGTCATCTTGTACAGATTACCTTCCAAGAGAAAACCAACCAACTCTATATCTAATGTAAGGCATGCATTGACTATTACGAGCATTGATTATTAGGAACAGAAACCCCTGTGTGCTGAATCAGGTATATTTCATTATTATATACAGATTATCTGGGAGACTGTATCAGAGTTAAATTTATAAAAGTCTTTCTTACACATATGAAGTTGTTGGAGATTTCACTGAATGCATAAATGTGGCTTCTATCTTCTGTTAAGAAGAACTTTCTTATCCTGTAGCCTTCTATAACAATTCATAACTCTCTCAGAGATAGAAAACTTTGTAACTATCTTCTACAGATTCCCTCAAAGACAGATTGCAGTTTTCCAAATTATGCCATTTTCTCCCCACCAGACACTTTGAGTATCAAGGAAACATGAAAACTATACCTTGTGATCTACAGAAAATTGCGTGAACTCTTAGAACACAGACTTAGGTTGCTGATTCTTTGGGGGAGAAACTAGTTTTAAGACACTGAGGGACACCTTTTAAAAGGGTTTTTGCAAATATGCTCATAAAATTGCTAAATGAAAATTCATTCTTAGAGGGTGAGGGGTCATAAAATAAATCAACAATCTTTATTTGATATCCTGTTGATCTGGCCATCAGCACGTACCAAGCTGCAATGCTAAAAAGATGAGTTCAGGAACCAGTGATAAATTTCACTTCCACATGTTAATAGATTTGCAAACACATGGAATATCACAGATCCTTTTATGAGGAAATGGTGTAATTTTTTGTAGTACACAAATTGAAATGTGTAGTTTACTGGATACAAAGAATTTGATGTGCAACTAGGATGGTAAATAAAAAAAATAGCTAGGAATGAATATTGACTTTTCTAATTTTTCTCAAGTGATTGGAGTAATGGCTACTTGAAGAAAGTCAAAAGAAAGAAGAACTATTCTGTATAGAAAGCATTTCCTAAGTGATTGTGTCCATAATATTGGAAAAGAAAAGTGTCAATCTTTAGAGAAAGAGGACTTTATCTTAATTTCTATGCAGCACATTTTGTTCATTGGCAACTATACCGAACATAAGCCAAAGTCCACAAAAATAAACATGTTACTTAAACAGGAAACAAGTGACTGTAGAATAAAATGTAGCTTTTAAATAAGTGACACCTGCAAATTCAAAGTATCACAAAGGATTTTGCAATTGACACCACAGGATCCAACACTGCCGTTTCTTGTACCCTGCTAAGAAATCAAGGCAAAAGTAAAATCAGCCTTTTCATATTGGAAAATCCTGCCTACTAACTCCACACAATTTTTTTAAAGCTGCACTATTCCTTCATTAAGTATGAATTCAAACCTTTAGAAACCTTTTAAAATAAAGCATAAATGAAGGATGTTAGCTGGTGCTGCTTAGTTTTAAAAACTGAAAAGCTAGAATATAATACAAAGTAAACAATTCAATTCAGGTTTCTGCTTGTCATTTAGCATTAGAATACAGGAGAAATGCTTAGCAAGAATGTCCATTGGTTACCATGTTGCAAATATGCTTTTGGTAGGGAGAAGCCAGGCAGACCCTGCTGTGTCTGCAGTCTCTGCTGGAGCCTTACGCAGCATTAGCTAGCATACCTCATGCTGGCTATGGTCCATGCTGTGGCAGAGAGGAGGAAGGGGTCTCTGCTTAAGCAGCAACTGGTGAGGGGGCGGGGGGCACAGGGAAGCCAGCAGAACCTGTTGTGCCTGCAAATCTGCTGGAGCTCTGGTCAGGGAGCAGAGGGGAGGGACCAGCCCTGCTGTGGAGCAGAGAGACCCGCCCAGCCCAGAGAGCAGGCCAAGATACTGGGGGACTGATTTAACTTAGAACAGCAGGGGGTCTGGGACAGACTTCACATAAACCGGTTTGACTTCAATCAGTTAATTCTGATACTACTACATTCAACCCGGTTTATCTCAAACCAGTTTCAGCCATTTTCAAAGTGGTTTATGTGCACTGAATGTCTGTTCTGTTATAGGTTTAAGCTGTTTCTGATCACTTAAACCAGTTTATGTGCAATGTCTGTCCCTAGCCCACGGGATAGCATATTGGTATTAATGTACAATGGCAAATCCATAATTTGGCTTTTAGTACCATCTGAAAATTGTCAGAAATCAAATATTTGGATACATTAGATTGAGATTCTCATAGAAGTGTAGTTCAATAGA